AAAAAAAAAAAAAAAACTTTGTAGACAGCATTTGGGTATGTTTCTCGTTTGATGATCAGATTCAAATTCCCCAACTCGACCCAGCCCAGACACATAACATCTGTTTTCTTTTTCTTTTTCTTTTTTTCTTCTGGAGGTAAGGCCTTGCTCTGCCACCCAGGCTGGAGCCCTGTATTCTTCAATTACTGAAAAGTTTTTGTGATGGTGGTTGTTTTTGTTTGTTTGTTTGGAGATGGAGTCTCGCTTTGTCACCCAGGCTGGAGTGTAGTGGCATGATCTTGGCTCACTGCAACCTCCACCTCCCGGGTTCCAGCAATTCTGTGCCTCAGCCTCCTGAGTAGCTGATGTTAGAGGCACACACCACCATGCCTGGCTAATTTTTGTGTGTTTTTTTTGTTTTTTTGTTTTTTTGTTTTGATAGAGGCGGGGTTTCCCCATCTTGGCCAGGTTGGTCTTGAACTCCTGACAACGTGATCCACCCACCTTGGCCTCCCAAAGTGCTGGGATTACAGGCCTGAGTCACCAGTCTCAGCCAAAAAGTAAAACATACTGTTACTCTCCAGGATCCCCATTAGTCCGGATTCTACTCGGTGGAGTTTATCAAATACTGGACTCACCTTCCTGAACCTTTTGCTGAATCTCATATAAAGTTTTGTCACAGAACCTGAGATTTTTCATAAGGTCTTGTATACCATGCCATGCCTGTGAATTGCTTTCTTTGCTTTGTTTTTATTTTTATATTTTTGTAAGAAGTAGCCAGCAAGTATCTTTCTTTGCTTTAGAGATGTAAACTGCTCTGTATTTTCAGATTAATTTGCAAGAATGTTGAAAATGCTTTACTCGCTTTTCTTTTCTGGCTTCCTCCCTCTCAGGACCTAAAACAGGCACCCCCCAGCCCAATGGACAGATGCCTCAGGCTGCACATTCTGTCAGTGCTGTTCTCCAAGAGGCCCAGACACATGCTGAAACATGGAAGGTGAGGCCAGCAAGCAGCTTACACACATTCCACCCAGCCGCCCCCATAAGCCCATGTCCTAAACCATTCGCATTGTTCCAATAACTGCTCTTTTAAAAAGAGAAAATATGCTGGGTATGGTGGCTCACACCTGTAATCCCAGAACTTCGGGAGGCTGTGGCAGGAGGATCACTTGAGCTTCAGTTCAAGATCAGACTGGGCAACATAGCGAGAGCTCGTCTCTACTAGAAATAAAAAGAAAAAAAAATTGGCTGGGCGTAGTGGTGCGCACCTGTAGTCCCCAGCTACTGGGGAGGCTGAGGTGGGAGAATTGCTTGTGCCCAGAAAATCAAGGCTGCAGTGACTTGTGATGGTGCCACTGGATTCCAGCCTAGGCAACAGAGCGAGACCCAGTCTTATAAATAGATAAATAAGAAGATGTACTTCCAACAACTGAGCAGTCACTACCATTTCATTTAGGTAATTGCTTTGTATTTGTAATCTTAAAGTTACATATGGTAGAATCAAAAGTTAAAACCAGCTATCATCACACTGCTTAGGAAAAATGTAAGCATTTCCTTTAAACTCTGGAGTTATTTAGCTACCTTTACTTTGACCAAAGTGGTTTTCTTGGTTTAGTCGAGTGATTTTAGCCCTCTCTGAAAGTGGCACACCCAAGTTTTAAACCCTTGGGATTTTACTTTCCTGTTTTGAATAAAATGGGGCAACCAGTTAGTCCAAAGCCCTATATGAAGGGTTAACTGGCCCCCAAAATCAGACTAGTGGACTGCCAAAAGAGTTACACTGTAAATAGGGGCTGGGCACAGTAGTGAGCACCTCTACTCCCAGCTACCGGGGACACGGAGGCAGGAGGATCACTTGAGTCCAGGAGTTCAAGGCTGCAGTGAGCTCTGATCGCACCACTGCACTCCAGCCTGGGTGATAGATAAAGACCCTGTCTTGAAGAAAAAAAAAGGATTTTAAAAAGGGTTACATTAAATATGTGCATTTTCTATCTTCCCCACTAACGTCCTACATACATCCCCATGGTGATGGAGGAGAAAATGCATTGTAAAATAATAGCAAATGGGTATAACATTCTCTATAACATTTTCAACTGAATAGATTAATGAGAATTCATTTAAACCTATCTTAAAATCATAGCTGATAATTATTACTTAGTTACTAAGTTAGTTCAAAACCTTTCAGCTGACTATATAAATTCTGTTGAGGATCTCTCATGTGTAATTCAAAACAACCTTAAATAACTGTGACAATGGCATGTCACCCAGCTAGGACAGGTGGGGTGCTTAACTTTAGCAATTTTTCATTTCTTTCACCCCTTCATTTTGTTCATCAGCCAGTAATGAAAACAATTAAATATTGGTATTTATCGAATTTCTTGTTTTTTGAGATGGAACTTCTTATAATTTTGAAAACCAGACCTTCTTAAAAAGTTGTATTTCGTTAATGTTCTTATTGTCTTCTCAAGCCTGACAATCTCTTCATGCAATGTGCTTTCAGCTAGTTTTAGTTCATTATTTCTATAATGCCAATTGAAGAAAAGCATTTTAAAATGCTGAAAGAAATAAAAGAATCCCAGAATAGAAATCACTTATGAACACTAACTCCCAAGTTGTCTGTTTGGAAATTTAAATGAAAAAATACTCACCAGTTAATTAGCTTATCATGCTAAGCAAATAAACTAAATAAAATAGATACTAAATCAGAAGGCACTTTATTAGAAAAAAATTTCCAACTTTAATCTTCAGTGGTAAGAGACTATTAAGTATAGAATGAAATAAACTGGAATTCTGATAAACTGTAACTTGGAATGATAATTATCACTAAAACAGAGGGATTCAATCCAGCTGCCTGGGGACATCATAAAATTATTATTATATATGGTATAATTATATGTATATTATATTATTTATATATTAATTCAAGAATTTATATATAGTAATATGCTATATAGTAATTTAATAATTTATAAATATTTATATTTATAACAGGTTAAGTCTACTGGACTTAAGTGATCCGCCTGCCTGGGACTCCCACCATGCTGAGATTACAGGCATGAGCCACCATGTCCAGCCAAAAAATTTTAAAAGATTATTTTTAATTTAAAGGCCATTTAGAATAATTGCCATATTCCAGTGCAAGGATGAGCTCAACAGCCAAGAGTCCCAGTGACTGGGGGACAGAGGCTCCCCAAGGGGCGGACAGAGACCTCACATATCCATGGCATGTCCCGTCCACTAGGGCTCTGTTGTCAAGAATGAAAAAATGCTACCCGGGAGGCTGAGGCAGGAGGCTCGCTTAAGCTAGGGAGATCGAGGCTGCGGTGAGCCCAGATCGCGCCACTGCACTCAGCCTGGGTGACAGAGTGAGACCCTGTCTTCACTAAATAATAAAAATAAATTAAAAATTTTTTTAATTAAAAAAAATGAATGCTGCTGTTGCTCCATTGCAGGATAAGAAATCAGCCCTCGGGAACCACCCCCAGCCCGGAACGCCTCGGGCTCCGCAGGCCCCCAAGTCCAGCCTTCCACCTCCCCCTCCGATGCGGCGGTCCTCCGACACCAGCGGCAGCCCCGCCACGACCCCCAAGGCCAAGGGCACGGGCGGCGGGGGCTTCCTCGCCCCGCCCATCGACTTCCTTCCGCCGCCGCCGCCGCCGCCGCCACCCATGGACGACCTCGAGCTCCCGCCGCCACCCCCGGACTTCATGGAGCCGCCCCCGGACTTCGTGCCCCCGCCCCCGCCGTCGTGTGCAGGACCCGCGGGCTCAGAGCTGCCCCCGCCACCGCCGCCGCCGCCCGCGCTCGCCCCCGATTCCGCCAGGCCGCCCCCCGCGGTCGCCAAGAGACCTCCTATGCCCCCCAAGAGGCACGAGAACCCAGCGCCCCCCGGCGGGGCAGGTGGCGGGGAGCAAGATTTCATGTCAGACCTCATGAAAGCTTTGCAAAAGAAGAGAGGCAACGTGTCCTAGGGACGGGCACAGTGAGTGTGCCAGAGGGAGACGCATCGGTGACCCCCCAGTGCAGGTTTTGCTAGATTTCCCTCACATCTTGTTCATTTCAGATAAAATGTGATGGGAAACTTCTCACTGTTGTGCTCAAGTACAGCCATAACCATTAACCCAATCGAATTCAGAATATCTGCTCAAATGTACATATCGCTCCTATGTATTTTCACCTAAATGGAATGTATCTTCCCTTCCAAGTTACCTAAAGTGCTGTTTTAGTTTCATTTATTTTATTATGTTCAGAAGTATGAAATGAATAAAAGTTAAACATTTTTCCTGAAGACAGTGCTTCTAGAAAGATTAATTATTGGGTCAATCTATCTTGACATCAACACTGTAATTAAAAATAGCTTTCCCCATCCCATGCCTTCTTAAGTCTTGGTGACCTTATATAGATTTTCCATTTCTACCTCTGTGACCTTCAGAATTTTCATGAAAATCGAGAGAGGAAAATGAGAAAACATGACAAACAGAGCCTGTTCCCTTTCTCTGAGATCCTGTTGTTTGATTGATTGGAGTCCTGGACACACGCTGTTTTGGTTTGGCTTTTTTAATGCTTGAATAACTGTCATTGAAAGAAATGGTTATTTAGATAGTTTTTTGAATTGTCATTATTACAATGCTGTGAGTATTCTGTAAATAAAAATGCAGGGGCGAGAAAAGGCAATCATATAGATATTCTTCTACCTGGAATGTTTTCCCTCCAAGATACATTTAATGACCAATTTATCCTCGGTTCTTGGGACCTATATCTCTTCTCTTTCAAATTGGCTTCTAATAGGCCTTTTACATTTTCTTAGTTTTATTTCCATGGCTCTCTTTTGGTTTTGTATTTTTGTGGGGTTTTTTTAACTGTAAAACTTCTCAAAATCTTGAGTGAGTGGAAAATAACGCACTTTTTAAAATAAAGGAAGATAATTAATGCTACGTTTTAATATTTGGAGAAAAGTAAGCTCTAAATCATGCTGTCTCAACTCATGGGCTGCGGGCCGCCCAGGACTGCTTTGAATGCTGCACAACACAAAACATTATGAGCTTTTGGCAGAGCATGGTGGCGCACCCCTGTAATCCCAGCAGCCCCAGAGGCTGAGATGGGAGAATCCCTTGAACCCAGGAAGCAGAGGCTGCAGTGAGCTGATATTGTGTCAGTGCACAGAGCAAGACTCTCTCTCAAAAACATTAAGATATTTTCTCAATTTTTGAGGGGGTTTATTAGCTATCATCGCTAACTGTCTCTCAAAAACTTTATATTTTCTCAATTTTAGGGGGGTTATTATTCTCAATTTTATGGGGGGGGGGGTTAGTGCATTTTATGTTTGGCCCAAAACAATTTTTCTTCTAATGTGGTCCAAGGAAGCCACAAGATTGGACACTCCTGCATTCTAAATGAATCTTTAAAATGAGAAACATTTAGTTTTAAAACCAAAATATTTAGCAATTGAAACTAACAAGGTGCCCTTTTTTCTGAAAGCGTATACTGGAAATAGGATAGAAGATAAATTTGCCTGACATGAAATTTCATCAACAGTGCCTCTCTCCAGTTTTCATTTCATTCTGTTCCTTTGATGTCAGATGCAGTCAAAACACAGCTTTTCTGACACCTAAATAAATCATGGTTGTTATGTAGATCGCTGGGACAATACAGGGAAGGTGTCAGAATGAAAATGGAGTCACTTATGTTAAGAAAACAGTGACAAATAGAGCCAGGCAAGTCCATGAATACAGGGTTCTCATGAGAATCTTAAACTCTGATTTTCTTTTTTTTTTTTTTTTTT